TTAGGCACTTTGGTGGTGATTCCAATAAGGTTAAATGAGTTGCTTCCAAAACACAAGAAGCTTGGGTGGAAGATATGGAAAGACTTAGTGCCAGGTTTTCTGATCTTTGAACCAATGCTCTGCCTCAGAGTTATGAGATTCTGGAAGAATTATTTGACCTCTTTCACCTGATTTCCTCATTTTCTTGCTTCATACAAGTAATCATGGAAAAAAGTTGTTAAAAGCCTTTCTGTTTCATTCTACACAATGATGCTAATTTCTCTTAAATTAATTTGAGAGTTTCTTTTTCTCCATCTGCGAAGTAATTAGCACAGGACAGCTAGATTGATTGTCCAGCTGTCTCTTTAGGTGGAGATGTTAAACGTGCACACACACACACACACACCTCTGCTTACTGTGAAGCACAACCACACTCATTTTAAAATTATATTTATTTTATTTTTTACTCCATTTTTTTGAGAATGTGAGGAGAAGGGTTAAGGGCTTGAACTTCCCTCTGTCCCTCAGTAGTAAAACAAGACCCCTGGGAACATGTGCGCATATCACAGCTGCACAGACTTCAAAAAAATTACCATGGTTTGTTCCATCACCATTTTGACCTTCTTAAATAATACTAATGTTCATTCGCAAGCTTTAAAATGGCAAAGAAGGACAATGAGTATGCTAAAATATTGCTTTGTCTGTAGTTATAAACGATGGGCATGAAAGCAATACAAATAATAAATCTGGATTCCTATGTTTTGTCTTGGTCACTGGAAAGTCAAAAGTCCCAAATTTCTCATCTACATAGACTTGGAACAGGCAATAGCATTTTTTTTTGTTATTGTTCTTTTTTGAGCTAACTGCCTATGCATTGCTAGTAAATGCCAGATTGTTTGGTCTTTATATGGTAATATTTTATTTAAAGACTTTAATTGAAATTAAAGAATATTACTTGAAGTTTTTCTCATCTTGGTATTTTACATGGTCCAAGGAGAAAAGAAAGAAAATGCAAACAAACAAAAAACTATACAAAGTCTTCACTTAATCTGGATAAACTCAGTGTCATGGCAAATGCCGTTTTTTTTTTTGTTTGTTTTGTTTGTTTTTCAGAGTCTTCTTCTGTAGCCCAGGCTGGAGTGCAGTGGTGCAAATGGCTCATTACAATGTGGAACTCATGGACCCAGGCTCCGGAGTAGCTGGAACTATGGGCACACACCACCATGCCTGGCTAATTTTATATTTTGTAGAGACAGTCTCACTATGTTGCACAGACAGTGCAAATGTTCTTTTCATATGTCCTTTCTTATTGAACACATAAACCAAATACAAATTACCAGATGTCATGGACATGTAAATTTGATTTTGCTTTAAGTATGAACCATTGACTTCTGGTTACTGTGTTTTTTAGAATTTAGGTTTTGCATTCTGATTTTATGTTCAGGAATTAATTAATTTACACATTATGTCATAAAATACATAGAATCTATGGTCAAATATCAGAATCTGTGTTCTCTGAACTAAGCAACATTGGAGAAAATCCCAGAGCTTTACATAATGGCTTTATTACAAATTTACAGTCTTGAAGCTCAGCTGAGCACTTCCGGCTGCTTATAAATCATGGAAAGTTGGGCAAAATAGTTGAAGTCTGGACTATCCTAGAATAGCTGGGAAGAAGTTTAAGGTTCAGTGTAAAGTGGGAGTTAGACATAGCTGTCAAAAATTCTAGCTCGGGTAACTGAGATAGAAGATGCCAGAAGATGAGGTATTTTTAGAGGAAGGATGGATGAGTCAATTTGGGACACACTGGAAAGGAAGCGCTTGTTGGACATCTCGATAAAGATGACCAGTTGAGAGTTAAATATAAAACGTGAAACTCAGAGATGTAGTCTAGGCAGCCCTCAGAAAATGGACGTAACTGAAACCATTTGAGAAAGAAAACAACCAGTTGTTAACAGTTGCATTGAGCAGAGCTCCCCTGTGGGCACAAAATTAGGATGAAAATCGTACGTAATTATTCCCTTATCCTAGCCTACCACAGAGCCATTTACTGCAGTGTGAGGTCTCTTTTAGTCTAGATTCTGAGTGGACAGTGGAACTTCAGAGGAGGGCTCAATTCCTCTTTGGGCAGGAGAGGCACAGAGTTAGCAGCAACCTGCAACCAATGGGTAGTTTCTTTACGGCAAGGCAAATTCTGGACAATGATATTAAATGATTGCTCACATAAAGATGGATTTGAGTGCTCTGAAAACAATAACAGCAATGCTTTGGCTTGAAAAAGAAGTAGACTCTTCCAAAATTATAGAGACAGTTTATATAGATCAAGAAAGGTAGTGAGAAAAGCTATCACACCGACTGATAGTAGTAACTGGCATTGGGCATCACTAGGTCTGGGCACTATGCTAAGTGCTTTGTGTATATTAACTCATTTAAGTCTCACTGCACCCTACGGAGTAGGTACTGTTATCCTTTTACACATGAGGAAGCTGACACCCAGAGATTTTACATATTTTACTCAGGGTTAAACAACCAGTAAGCAGCAGAGCAAACAAAAACTTGAATTTAGGCAATCTGCGTTCAGAGATCATGTTCTTATAATACACTTCCTGTGTTAATACAAAATAACCCATTTTGATTTCAACGTACCACTTGCAAGGTTCATATCAGTACAATTTGTGCGATAAATAGAGCAAATGCTGTGAAAAGGCTGATCGATAATAGGAAGCTTTAATACCTCTATTCATTTAATCCAGTTTTACTTTCCTTCACCATGGAGAAACTATGCAATGCTGTCAAAGAATGCTCGTCAATGTTTTATTTTGTGTTTTTTCTTTCACCCAGCTATCTCTCTGCAGAACTCTGTGCTAATGATAGAATTTGTATGCTAATGATAATTGCAACCAAGAAAGCTGTATTCTCTTTCTACTCTGGGTAACTGAATAAAGAAGTGCTATGAGGCAATTATTGCAGTTAGTTACAGAAAATTCTCTGAAAAATAAGACCAAACCTATATACTCAAATTCAATATGATCACATTTATCAAAATTATTTGCACCTTTTAAATCATCATAATAAGAGACAAAATTATTACTCTGGGTTCTTTCAGTGTGTTAACCCAGTTCTCCCAATGGCTCTATTGTTTAGGCTTAACATTTTTCCATTTTATGGATGAGAAAAAAGAGGTTTAACAACCTGCCCAAGATGACAGGTATAAACTTTAAAAAGACTATTAAGAGATCATTTAGATCGTATTTCTATTCTCTTATTTGTATTCTATCTTTTGATTATTATAAATCTAATTATAAATGCTATTATAATTTTACTGTTATAATTTTACTACATATGATGAAACACTTTACTATTTCAGTGCCCTTTTACTTGGTTATGGCAAAATTCTTTTCTAATTATTTTCTGACACCTTAACATGCATAACTGTGTTGTTGGGTTATTTTTTCCATGGCAGTTTCACTAATTCCATTTACTTGCCAGTCAGCGTACTTCAATATTTTTTTTGATATTAGCATTAGAAATCCACTGAAAACACAAGGCAATACTCAATTCAAAATAAGGTGACTTTAGTTTACTTTCTTTAGGTATAAGAAATCCTAAAATCTGAACCACAATAAAAAACTGCAGGAATGGAAACCTAGATTCAGGATAAGACAACCAAAATCACAGCTAAAGACTCCTTTACAACTTTATAGTTTATGAAGTCTTACCAAATAATATTATTTTCATAATCAGAAAGTGTATTTAAACTTTAATGTAAGGTTTTATTTTATTTTGTCTAATTTTTATTGGCCTTACAGACAAGATTATTTTATTCTTTTCTAATTGCTTTCATGTCTTCTTGTTTGCTATTTTCTGTTTTCCTGTTCAATTATCATGACTGCCTATTTAGAAATGACTTTTGAAGGTGTGAGTCTTCAAGGTGACTAACGTCAGAACACAGCCAGTCTTCATTATTTATGGATAATTGACTTTTGTTTTTTTGGATAGGATTTCACCCAGGCTGCAGTGCAATAGTGAGATCACAGCTCATTGCAGCCTCAGGTTCCTGGGCTCAAGGGATCCTTTTGCCTCAGCCTCCTGAGTAGGTGGCACTACAGGCATGTTTCATCATACCCTGCTAATTTTCTTCTTCTTTTTTTTTTTTTTTTTTCAAGATATGGGGTCTCACTATGCTTCCCAGGCTGGTCTCAAACTTCTGGGCTCAAGCAATTCTCCCACCTGCTTCGATCTCCCAAAATGCTGGAATTACAGGCATGAGCCTTCACACCTGGCCAGTAAATGACTCTGAAAGTAATACACAAAGATTGGAAAGTGACCTAAGTTCCTAATTCGCATATTGACACATACATTTTACTATTTCTTTGTTTTTTAATTGTAGTAAGAACAAATAACATGAGATCTACCTTCTTATCAAATTTGTAAGTATATAGTCATGTTAACTATAGGCACGACGTTGTAAAGCATTTGTTCTACATAATGCTCTACAGGTATCTCTAGAACTTATTCGTTTTACCTAACTGAAACTATGCCTGTTAAATGGCAAATCCCGATTTTCCTCTCACCCAGCCTCCAGCAATCACTATCCTACTTTCTGTTTCTCCAGGTTTGACTATATTAAACTCCATATAACTGAAATCATGTAGTATTTGTCCTTCTGTGACTAGCTTATTTTACTTAGCATAATGTCCCCAAGGCTCATTCATACTTTCTTATATAGCAGGATTTCCTTGTTTATTGTCGTTTGATAATATTCCATTGTATGTTTATAACACATTTTCTTTATCCATTCATCTCTCAATGAAAATTTTGATCACTTCCGCGTTATAACTATTGTGAATAATCCTTCAAAGGAACAGAAGGAAACTCATGCTTATATGATCAACTGGTGTTTGTCAAGGGACCAAGAATATTCAATGGGAAAAGGAGAGTCTCTTCAATTAACGGTGTTGGGAAAACTGAATATCCATATACAAAATAATAAAATTGAACAATTCTCTCACACCATACAAAAAAATCAACTCCAAGTAGGTCAAACATTAAAAGTAAGACCTACTTACTTTTAATTTTTAAAAGCTTTACAAAACTGTAAAGCTTGTAGTAAAAATCATAGGGGAAAAGCTTCAGGACATTTGTCTCAGCAATTATGGGTATGACACAAGAAGTACACAACAAAAGGAAAAATAAGCAAGTGTGATTACATAAAACTGAAAAGTTTTGCAAAGCAAAAGAAATAACAGAGTAAAAAGGCAACCTATAAAATGGGAGAAAACCATTATAAACCATATATCTGATAAAGGATTCATTTCCATAATATATAAGAACAAGTTTATAGCAAAAATGCAAGTAAGTCCATTAAAAAGTGGACAAAGGACTTGAATGGACATATTCCTAAAAATGATGTAAAAATGACTAACAAGTACATGAAAGAGATATTCCCACTAATAGTTAAAAGATAGCGTCACTCAACATCATTAGTCATCAGGAAAACACAAATCAAAACCACAGTGAGATATTGTTTCATACCTATTAGAATGGCTATTCTATAATTTCTTTTAAATGGTGTTGACAAGGATGTGGAGAAATTGGAAGACTTGCACACTGCTCGTGGGAAAATAAAATGCTACAGCTATTATGAAAAATAATTTGGAAGTTCCTCAAAAAATTAAACATAGAACTATCATATAATCCAGCAATCCCACTTTCACATATTTGTACAAATGAATTAATATCAAGATCTTGAAGAGACTTATGCACTCCCATGTTTGTTTCAGTAGTAATCACAACAGCCAAGATGTGTATTTTGAAAGACATTAATATGTCAGGCAAATTTTCCAAAAAGAGCTTTCCTCAGTAAAGAAACAAAGGTGGGTGGGGGGGATTTGTGTTTCTCAAGTTACCCCAATTTTAACTATTACAATGTTTTGAAATTTCTTTAGTGTAAACATATATTAAACACAAGTATAACAGCCAACAAATTTGACAGAGATTTAACCAGATTTAACTCAAAGCGTCATTTTCAAATGCCTTCTCTACAGTGTTCTTTCCAGTGAAGTAGATGTTTGGTTATCTAAAGAGGTTCTTCAGTGATAAACTTTTACAGTAAACATGAGTAATCACTGTAATCAAATAACCGTTTACGAGTAAGGCTTCAAATTTCATATTACAAAAGTAAATGTTGGTGTCTTAAATTGTACTAAGGTTTTGTTCAAATAGGAGACAAGAACTATTAACGTAATGAAGAGAATTACTGTTCCTGTCTAGATGATCTGAGGAAACAAGATAGAGACTGCCACACCAGCAGAACTCTAAGGAACTGAATTCAATCCTGGCAGAGACTTCTAGTTGTCTCCTCAGCATTCACAAACCCCCACTGTCTTCCTTAAGAAGAGAAATCAATTTTTTTTTTTATTTTTTTATTTTTTTTTTGGAGAGGGAGTTTTGCTCTTGTTACCCAGGCTGGAGTGCAATGGCGTGATCTCGGCTCACAGGCAGCCTCCGCCTCTTGGGTTCAGGCAATTCTCCTGCCTCAGTCTCCTGAGTAGCTGGGATTACAGGCACGCACCATCATGCCCAGCTAATTTTTTGTATTTTTAGTAGAGACGGGATTTCACCATGTTGACCAGGATGGTCTTGATCTCTTGACCTCGTGATCCACCCGCCTCGGCCTCCCAAAGTGCTGGGATTACAGGCTTGAGCCACTGCGCCCGGCCTGAGAAATCAATTTTTAACTGAGCTCCTTGTCAGCTTGTGGTCATATGATTATGTTCTGGCCAACAAGATACAAATGGACATGTATGAGATTTCTGGAGAACTGTTCATAGAGAATCTACTTCTAGAAGGAACACATTTTTAGTTCTCTTAGCTTTCCTCTTCTACTTGATCTGGAATTCAGATATGAGAGCTCAAGTTTCAGCAGCAATTCTGGTCTATGAGGAAATTTTAAGGGTGAAACTATGTGACAGGAGGGGGAAAACGATTGGCACCAACCTATTAGCTCTGAACAATCTTCCAGACTTACTGTGTAATGATTATGTGACATTTTTATCTAGATGGCACTGTTTGTGTAATTATTTAAATATTTTTTACTTTCTACCCTCTTTATTTAGAAAGGACTAAAATTGGACAAATGAAAATGTGATACAAATGATAAAACAATACAATTGGCGCAATTCTAGAAAGAAGCAAATCCTTAGCTTTGTCTACCCTTTAAATTTATGTCATCCAACTGTCTGCTTATTTATGAAAGAAAATAAATATGCATAAACGGTAAACACAAATGTGTATACAGTGCTCAAACACAATTTTGGATATGTTTTAAAATAGTTTATAAGGAGTAGTTTAATATTTGACTTTTTTATATGGAGTTTTTCGTAGAAATTTTAAAGAATTAATTATAAATGAAAGCAGAAAAATCCTATAGTTACGTTGGGAATTTCATGTTTTCTAATAATGGTGTGACACTCAACACAATTTTGAACATGTCTTCAAGATTAAAAGAATATTTTATGAAAACTTATAAGTGGTGACAAATATTCATTCTTTAGAGTAGATCTGACTTGAGAACCAGCCTTCAGTCACAGATCAAAGAGGAATGTTACTGAAGAAATCAGACAAGTCTGGTCACGTGGGTATGTACCCACATATCTTGTAAAAGAGCTCTGAAATCGCCATGAGAAATAAAACTAGTTTTGAAGTTAATGTCTGACTTCCAAGGTGAGTCTTATGAATATTAATTTGGTTATATAATTTAAAAACACAGTTTTACAGACACAGCTTAGTAAGTTTCATTTTTAAAAACAGGCTTTTGCAGTGCAATTTTTTCCCCTGTTCCATTGAAGTATCCTTACTTATAGCTTCCCACACCTCCAAGATTTTCCCACATGTAGCATTCAACATATCTGAGTTACTGGCCAAGGGCAGCTACTACAGAAGAGCTGTCGGCATCACAAACTTATGAGGACTTCAAAATGTCATTTCTTGGTGGATTCCTGCTCTCTTCATTTGTTCTCTCTCAGAATCAATCTGATTCAGGATCCAGGATTTCTGAGCTAGCCATCAAGGAATCATTCTGCCTAGATTCATGGTTCCTTTTGTTCTCTCCAAAACTGACTTATTCCATGGGGTCATATATTATCTTTGGTCCCTATTCCTAAGTTTTACTACTTTCTACTTGCCCCTCTGGATCTAGAGTACTTCTTTGACTCCTGTGAATAAGGATTCCATTGTCCCCTTATATTCACGGCAGTGCCCGCGTGAAGCCGGAGTTGTTCCCATCGCTAAGAGATACACTGATTACATAATTCAAAATCCTAATGGCATTTACTCTCCTAGAAATACGATTGAGTCGCTTGTTTCAACTGTCTCTGTCTCATGATGGTTTGAGGTAAAGAGAGTTTGTTTCCTCCTGTCTACATGATCATCTCCTCACGGATAGTTGCTTATATCAAAAAGTATGTAGCTTTCTTTAAAAACAAGATGAAATACAAATTTCTTAACAAACTCCACATAACCCTACATCAAGTGGTCCTTGTGTTACCAAAACACCAGGGGTTTGGTCTAGGTCCTGCTGCCCACTTCACAGGAAGCCAGTCACTGAGATGATGAATGTATCCGAGCAAGAAGGCTTTAACTGGGTGCTGCAGTCAAGGAGATAGGAGAGCAGTCTCTAATCCTCCCCCTGACCCACCAAAAGTCGGAGTTTATATAGCAGGGAAGAAATGCAACAATGTGTAAGAAAGCATGAACTAGGAAAGAGCAAGGAAGCAACCATGATGAATGAGGAGTGGGCATCTCATTGTCTGGATGTGATCTGGTGAGTTTCAGTTCTTTGATACTTCTTGAGATTCCTGGGGACCCTTTCCTGAGGAAGAAATTCAGATAAAATGTAAGTTTTAAGCTTTAAGAGCAGAAAGGTCAATTTCTATGTTTATGGAAAGGAAAAAAAACAATTACTCTATGGGACTATTGGGTAGGTTTCACTTACCACTTCAACCTAAGTCTCTCCATCCTCCATCTTAGTCCCTAAACTCAGGGTATTCTGGCCTTCTTTTCTGCTGCCAAACACACCAAGCTTGTTCATAATTTTCAGATTCTGTATTCACCGTGCCTTCTGTTGGAAATGTTTGATTTTCAGATCTTCACTTAGCTGCCTCTTCTTACCATTCAGATACCAATGCTCACCTTCTCTAACCATCGTAGGTAAAGTGGTTACCGATCCTGCCCTCTCATTTCACATCTTCTTTCTTCACAAAAACCAGAAGCAGCTGGACACATTAAAAGTTTTCTTCCCAAGGTTTTGCGGCCTGCTCCTCTGCTAGAATTTTTCTGTAGATGATAACACCAGCTTTTTTTCTTCTTCCTGTTTCTGGGCTTGTCTTGATTTTTAAATTCTTTCTTGGCTTTGTGAGTTAAGCTCCTGAGCTTAACTGTCTGGGTCTTGAAATTTGGACAACTTCCTTGATGCTGAACTACTTAGTTTTATAAACATTGCGTGGGTTTGTTTATTTGGCTGTTGTGAGCAATGAGTGTATAACCGCAGCTCTTTAAGCACTAGGTCTCTCTCCACGTATGCCACTCTGAGCACCACCATGTAGCCCCACAATTAGGAAGCAAGATTTGACAAAGCCTTAGGTGTCCTCTAACAACCTTCTTACTCAATGCAAGAAATGTCTCTGTCACTTCCTGGTAAGTAAATATTCAGCTTCTTCGTGAATAACTCTGATGACATGGAATTCACTACTTTACCAGATAAGTCATGTCAACTACATAAAACTCTAAGACTTAGCGACTTCTTTCTTGTATTTATCTTAAACTGTTTTCTGGAAACCTCTACAGAATAGTTCTAATTCTACATTCTAGATGACACAAAATATTTCTTTACCATGTGCTAGCTACATGACCTGGTTGAGAATGGTCACAATCTAGGCATCAATTTGAGGAGCTATCGGATAAACTAGTTATCAATAACAACAAACTATGGCAAGATAACTGATGTCACAATGTAGCAAACAAGTGATCAGGAAGCCGCATGCTTCTTTCTTTACCACACCTACGAATACCGTTTATTTTCCACTGAGAATCCAGGAATAAATAACACCTCTACCTCTGGAGGGATAGAGTTTTCCAAGAATTGTTGAAGGGTGAATGGGAAACATAAAGCTTTCTAAACATAAAGTCTTTCTAAAAATAATTTGTGATATCCTTAAAACCTGCTCTCTTGCACTAACAAATCGCAGTTTAATTTTTGTGTTTTTCTAGGGAGCTTTGCAGACTTGTGCCTCGACTGTCTCTGATCAATGTTCCCCAACAAGTTCCCAAACAATTTTTTTTCTGGCTGAGTTCTCACAATATAACTGTTGAATATCTCTGCTTTGGAAAAATTGGACATCTGTAGCTCTCCTCCCTATTCCATTACCATGACATTTATTGAGTGCTAAAATGTATGAGGTTATATTTGTCTCTGTGGTGGTAGGGCCCGTATGTTCGTAGTCTTTATCCTTCTCTTTGAAGGTGTTCCTCCTTCACAGGGTTCACTGAAATACAGAACAGATCTTGTCAGTACATGTGCATGACTATTTTTATCTCAGAGGGAGGGATTGTGGGATACAATTTATACACAAGAGATAAATTATAGACACACAGGCTCTGGTTACTCACTTAGCTTAAGGTTTACACATGTTAAAGAGTATCTCTTAGGATTGTTCTCCCTCTAACTCTAATCACTGACTCCTTGATCTCATTTTCTTGCTAGTTCAGTGGGTCTTTTCACCCGATAGGACAAGACTAAATTTTTCTTTTAGTACCTTTTAAGTCCTGGAACAAAGTTCTGCTGGGGGCTTGAAATCCAGATTTCAGATGGAAACTGCTTTCCATAGTCATCTATGGCAAGGACACAGTCCTGTGATCTTTCTACTTACAATTTTTCTACTAGTTTTCCGTTTAAGAAATAACAATCTGATCATCATTCTTTATCACCTACATCTAGATTCAGTTATCATATTCTGAAAATCCTCCATCTCCTATCATATATCCATTCTTTTTTTTTTTTTTTTTGCCTTTCTAACCACAAAACAGTTCATTTCTTGGGACCGTAATTTTGCCTTGGCATTTTTGAATTCCCATGCATAGCACAGAGAGAAAGTGAATGAATGCACTTCTAGAAGCTCTCAACTGCTTGTTCTGCATCTGTACCTTCTAGCATCAGCATCTTCTTCTAAAATCACCTTAGGAATCCTTTAAGCCTTATCTTTAAGGAAATCATTAGCATTCACAGCAAGGTACATGCATGCATATCTTTTATTATCATTTATTATTTTTGAGACGAAGTGTCACTCTCTCACCCAGGCTGGAGTGCAGTGACATGATCTCAGCTCACTGCAACCTCTGCCTCCCAGGTTCAAGCAATTCTCCTGCCTCAGCCTCCCTAGTAGCTGGGAGCCCCTGCGCCCGGCTAATGTTTGTATTTTTAGCAGAGACAGGTTTCGCCATGTTGACCAGGCTGGTCTAAAACTCCTGACCTCAGGTGATCTGCCCACCTCAGCCTCCGAAAGGGCTGGATTACAGGCATGAGTCACTGCACGCAGCTACATGCATGCATATCAATAATCAATAGACTATTGTTTTGTCTGGTTTGATGTGGTCCACTTATACCAAGATATCTCTATCTCAATTCTGATGCAGATCATTTGGATTCGCCTAAGGGAATGTCCTCTCTTTCCTTCTCTTTCTCGTATGTCATCTGTATACTCTAACATGCATACAATTCCAAAGTCAAAAACATTAAAACAAACTAGGAAAAAAAGAATTAAGTAATGTTTCCCTTCAAGAGTCTTAAGAACTAGAACAGGTCCTAGGTAACCCACAATAGATTAGCCCAGGTTATCTGAATAAAAATCTTTATATTACAGGAACTAAAAATCAGTGGTTAAGTTTATTATACACCACAGATCTGCATCTTGTCACATAAGACAATTCATAAGGAGAATAGAAATTTGAAAGAATAAATCTGACTAAACCAGAAGCATTTTCCACCAGGTGTCAACACGTTTCCCATCTGTTAGGAATGAGGAAAGCTTTGCATCTGCTCCATCTCTGTACTCTTTGCTTCTTCAGACACCAAGACAAAAACTTAACATTGTTGCTAAAGCAATTTTTATTTTGACAGCTTTAGCATTTCATCATTATGCCTTTGTTTCAATGGAAAAAAGTTCTCCCACGCTCTTCACTGAAGATGACTTTCTCACTAAGCCAAAGCTTTTGCCTCTTCATACAGCAAATGTGTACACAACCCACCTGCTTCTGGGTTACTTTCCATCTGTTCATCAAGACAAACCCTATTCCATATGAAAACAACCTTTTTCCTTTTTATGGACATTATGTCTCCATGTAAATTAAATTTGCAATCAAGTTGGGTCTTCTTTTTAGACAACAAAAGTATTTCAGGAACTTCATGACAATTGATTTACAGAAAATCCTGGTTATGAAATGCCAGGGTATTTGTCTTATTTATAGAGAAATATTTATCGTAGACAACAGATGATTTTGATTTTAAAATAATCACTAGGACTGTAAGTTTAGCAAAAAAGGCAGTCTCTTCTTTAATCAGAAGCCAACTGGAGTTGCAAGTTGTACAAACCTTAGGATGGCAGAGCAATTGAGACACTGGAGATTATCTAGTGTGTTCCCAGCTTTGGACCTTAAATTCTAAAAGGAAGTTGAAAAGAAAGCCATAAACCCTCCTCTGAGAAAGTAGACATGCACTCAAAATCTTCATATTGTGTCAGAGTCCTTTTGCTCCTCTGGGCCAAAAATCATAACCCAGGTAAGGAACACTTGATTTAATCCAACCCTTTTAATTTTGATAACAAATTAACTAAATATTATAGAAGCCAACGGATTAACTTAAGATTCTAATTATTTAAGCCTAGAAATTATATTACCTATTAACAGAACAATCTTTTTCTTACCATAATAGACTATTTTTTGTTGTTCTTCAAGTACATTTGAATTTATTTCTGCTCCTTTTATCAATGAATACATTACAATGACATTAAACTCAATCACTCACTTTTATAGGTAAGAAAACCATGTCCCCAGAGGTGAACTGGTCTAAAAATCAGTTTCCCGGGGAGAAATATTTACAATATTTCCAAATTTCTTTTACTATCTTGCCCTTCGTGTTTCAGTCATCTTGGAACTTGAAGAAGAAGTTAACATCCCTGGAACTTGGAACTGGAAATATGCACTCTTATTATCACATTTATAATTTTATTTTATCATCGAGAATTTAAAGAGATAATAAAGCCATCAAATTGATTTCTCCAAAGGCAGCATTGCCCCTTCTCTGAAGCTGTGTATTTTATTTTTTACTATTGGATTACATAAAATATTAGAGGAAAAAAGCATTTGGAAAAATACAAGAAAAACGAGGTGATAATTAGAATGTGTCCAACCTTTTTTCTGTTTCCTTCTGCACATAGTCTAATTCCTATCTTTCTAACATGAGACTGTTGAGTGATTTAAAATCATGTTAATCATTTTAATGTTCTCAGTTATAGGGGAAAATGAAATAGCTGAATTTATGCTAAAAATAAACCTTGCAGATTTGCTGGATCACAGGACGTATGAGTGTAAACAACTGTCGCCGTCTTGGAAAGCGAATCCTGCCTGGTTTGACTTTCCTTAGGGAGTGTTCTACAGGCTCTTAAAGCTGCATGTTGAATAATTGTTTCCACAACTAGCACAGATTGGTTTTCTCAAAAGAAAAAATGAAAATGAAAGTTTCATCCAATTAAAATAGGACTATTAATAGCATATTGTGTGGGAAAGGAAAAGTCTGCTCTTCAAAGGCCTGTGCGGTTCATCACAGAAACACAAATTTTCACAGCACTGAAATAGTTGGGTGAAAAGTTTAAGATTTTATGAAGACATAGAAAAGCAAATGATTTCGCCTTTTTTAGTTGGCACAAGTGAGGGTATTAATATCCCTGGTAGAGCGAGGAGTAGGTGCCTTCACATTGGTTCTATTAACTTCATGGAACATGGAAGATGGTTCGGTAGAGAAAGCCCCAAGTTTATTTGGCCTTTGGGTTATATATACCCTACTCTCAATAGGAGACAAGGTTAGCACCGTCTTAACTATTATTAACCTTAAGAATGCTCTTTTTTGTGTGTTTCAGACAGTTTCGCTCTTTCGCCAGGCGCCAGGCTGGAGTGCAGTGGTGCGATCTTGGCTCACTGCAACCCCTGACTCCTGGCTTCGAGCAATTCTCCTGCCTCAGCCTCCCGAGCTGCGACTACAGGCACACACCGCCACACCCAGCTAATTTGTGTATTTTAGTAGAGACAGGGTTTCACTATGTTGGCCCGGATGGTCTTGATCTCTTGACCTCGTGATCCACCCACCTCAGCCTCCCAAAGTGCTGGGATTACAGGCGTGAGCCACCGCGCCATGCTAAGAATGCTCTTAACTCTATTCCCTGATCTGGCAGATCATCCTTTTATTAAATAATTTCACATTTTTTTGAGGGAAAACACTTTAAAATTTCGGACCATTAGACAATCTGGTCATTTATTATATTTTATCCCAAATCAAGAAAAATACATTTGTGAATTTATATTCCAACTTTAAGACTTAGGATTTCAATAAATGGCTGTTGATGCCATCATGAGTCAGCGTATTTCTATTCCAGCGGCCCACTTTTCATGCTGTTTGATGCTAAAGACCCAAGACTCCAAGACAGACAGATATATATCCATATGAATTCAAACATCATGCTAAGTGAAGAATTCTGTAGACAGCTTTTCTCACAGGTAACCCCATAACCACCTGCATAATATATGATTCTATTATATAAAATTAAAAACTAAATTTAATCTGGAATATTAGAAGTCAAAACACCATTTACTTTTGGGGAAGAATGGAGGATGAGGAAGCTTACAGCATTCTGATAGCATTCCTATGTTTGATCTAAATGGTCATTTACGTGGATTTCATTGCTTTGTGACAGTCATTGAACTATGCACAAAAGATGTGTATACTTCTCTGTTGTGTGTTCCTGCATAGAATAAGCAAATAAAATCTCTGTTAAGAATTGTATCACAATATTTAAAAATTATCCTAAATAAATGTAGAGATAAACAAATGTTCATGATTGGTAAAATTTGACATTGTAGAGATGCCATTCTTCTCAAATTAACTGGCAAATTTCAGTCCATTTTCTGATAATATTTCAGGAGGACTTTTTGAGGAACTGAACATTGATTCAAAGATCACATATGCAGACAAAGGTCTGTGAAAAACAAAGATTATGATTAAGAAGAGCAAAGAAAGAGACTCAAGGTGTATGAAGACATTTCACTACATCATTTTAATGATACAAAATAAAGTAGAATACATAGTGTGGTTCTGACATGCAAACAAAAAGACCGGTGGAATGCAACATTGAGGCCCAAACAAAGTACCATTTGTATGGAAATTTGGCACATAACAGAGGTGAAATGAATCTGTTGTCATTGACAGAAATAAAAGGAG